TGCTTAATTATTATTACTGGATTTCTGGGAAAATAATTATTATTGTTAAGACTATCCAAAGTAAATAAGTTCACTCTCATGAACAGGCCTATGTGCAGGTGTTTTCAGTAAAGATGATATGATGAGGAGCATGAAAAAGATTATTTTGATGATGATAATAATAATAATAATGATAGATGGTGATGATGATGATGATGAGGAGGATGGTAATAATGATGAGGATGATAATGATGATGATTATATAATTATGATGATGATGATGATGATATTGATGAGGATGCAAATGATGAAGATGAAAAAGAATAAGATATAATGAAGAGGATGATGATAATAATAACGATAATGATGATGATGGATGATAATGATGATGATGACGATATTGATGAGGATGGTAATGATTGTGAGGATGATAATGATGATGATATAATGATGATGATAATGATGATGACATAATGATGATAGTAATAGTAATAAAAATAAAAAAGAAATATATCTATACCTTGAGGTAATGTTCCTGCTTAGTAGGGCTGAAGATCCCGGTTCAAACACGGCTAGCGTCCGTATTTAATTGGAGACTGATATCTTGGCTTCTCGACATGAGAGTTAGGCAGAATGGACAATATACGTGTTGCATGAGGTACCGTACTGTTGCTGCACTGCGGTCCAACCTAATATCTAGATTTAAATTTCAAATTTTAAAAATAAATTTCGTGTTCTTCTGATTAAAAATCCCTAAAATGTCAATGAAAACATTCAATTTCTCATTTACAAGAACTAAACATTTTCGGTTTCGCACTTATAGATTTTAACTAACAAAAGTGAATAATTTATTACCAGCCAATTAAGGTCATTCATGAGGAAAATACATTTTCAAATGATATAACTTACCGTACATGGATTGACAGCATGGCTTGGCGTACCTCAAACTTTATCATCGTCTGTTCATGCTTGAACATGGACGAATTCAACGAGTTTAAAAGAGAAAAAATAAGTAAATAAATAAAAATAATAGGCCTATTGCTATTTGCTTGCATCACATCTTCAGAGTTTTTTTTTCATACAGAAATAGGCACATACAACATTATTTACTGTTTTTGTTAAGTTCAATATTTCGAACTTTCTTTCTTTATTATACAAGAGGGCGCCGCCCATACTTGCTCCGTGAATAATGAAATAATATCGAAACTATTTATAAGCCTCGGAGGAAGCACAGTATAAACATTATTAGGCAAAAATGGATTAGGCGAAACAACCACGTATGAAGTTTCGTATGCGTATTGATTTATCCAAAATTCATAGGCGACCAGAGAATGAATATAAACATCAAAAAACGTAAAATGGACAACGAGAAAAACGCCTAAATGCTTTATGCCCGGATATACCACAAACATTAATCAATAAATAATATCATTAGTATACATACATCTATTATACTGAAAGTATAATACTTGAACTTTACTCTAAGTCTGTTTCATTCTTTGCAATCGAGAAGAGTGAAAGAATAAAAATTTGTCGTGTATGTGTACGTGTAGGCAGGTGTATATGCAAATTAAAAGTGTTCGATGAGTTTAATGGTTTTTAAGGAAAAACTTAATGTTGTACCTGTATTTTAAAAGTAGCTCGTTTCTTTTGTTTAGAATTGATTGTTTGCCTGAATAGATGCATAGGTTATAGGTCAACATCAATGTTATAGACCTACCTTCTGTGGACTTATCCATATGCGACCAAACCAAAGGGCATGATAAACATATTAACACAACGCAAAACGTTCACGGGAAAAACGCCTAAATATTTTATGTCCGGATATATCAACCACATAGTTCACAGTAATCAATAATCCACATGGCGATATAGTATATATGTTTCATATATATATTTTAAGTGGATAAATAATAACAGTACTCGAATAGGAAGAAAATGTTATAACCGTATCGGGCATAGCTCTTCAACAAAATATCCTTGTCTGGTGGGATTCGAAGCCTGTCAAAGCAGTGTCATACCAATTAGACCAAATAGACCAATGGGTATAGGTGCAGATCTAATTCCCAGGAACTTTCTTTCATATAACTGACTAAAACACTTATGCTTATATGCAGCAAACATAATTAGAATTTGTGTATTATTAATTAAACCTACTTTTCTGAATAATAATAATAATAATTAATAAACCATATTGAACATAATGTACATTGCACATGCCGTTTATTCACATCTTAAATGTTAAACATTCGCATTACTGGCATAGGTTTAGAAATACAATTACAAAATCAAATTCTTCAAGAGATTTTTACTAGAACTTTAATACTATATCAACAAATGGTAGGAAATACGTAAACATGAATATTAATTGAAGACATATTATTGTATAAGACGATAGTCAAAATAAATTATCAATTTACTCCAATGCAAAATGCATGAAATGCATTTTATGTTATGAAAAAATTTAAGAAGATTCACACGGTTACGAAAAATAGATGAGCAGAAGAAATGAGTTTTAAAGTAACGGAAAAATATTTATTTCTTTTGTACAGTCTCCTGATAAAGTCCACTGTGCTAGAGAATAAATTATATATTGTTAGTCTCAAAAGTGCTGCTGTCATTTATTTTATTTTGTTCTTTAACACAATAACGCGGCTACACTTTTTATTCATCATGAAAAATATTATGAAGTCAAATAAAAGAAAATTTATAGCATTGCTAAATTTTGACCACAACTGTTTATAAATGTATTATTATTATTATTATTATTATTATTATTATTATTATTATTATTATTATTATTATTATTATTATTTATAATAATATTAGAATATTAGGAAAATGTAATAATTTATATAATAATGTATATTAAACGGCCTGAATTAATGACCATCGTTTAACCAACAATCTTTTGTTGCAGATAATTAATGACATGTGCCGATTTTAGTTCAATAAGTTCTTCTTTTGTATACTACACAAGAAAAATATAAAATTGGATTACCATAGGCTTGGAACCATCTAAGCAGGTTTGAACTAACTAAATATACGCCTACCAGGACTAGCCATAAATCCATCTCCTGATATAAAGTCCACTGTGCTAGAGAATAAATTATATATTGTTAGACTCAAAAGTGCTGCTGTCATTTATTTTATTTTGTTCTTTAACACAATAACGCGGCTACACTTTTTATTCATCATGAAAAATATTAGGAAGTCAAATAAAAGAAAATTTATAGCATTGCTAAATTTTGACCACAATGGTTTATAAATGTATTATTATTATTATTATTATTATTATTATTATTATTATTATTATTATTATTATTATTATTATTATTATTATTATTATTATTATTATTATTATTATTATTATTATTATTAATAATAATAATATTAGGATATTAGGAAAATGTAATAATTTATATAATAATGTATATTAAACGGCCTGAATTAATGACCATCGTTTAACCAACAATCTTTTGTTGCAGATAATTAATGACTTGTGCCGAATTTAGTTCAATAAGTTCTTCTTTTGTATACTACACAAGAAAAATATAAAATTGGATTACCATAGGCTTGGAACCATCTAAGCAGGTTTGAACCAACTAAATATACGCCTACCAGGACTAGCCATAAATCCATCTCCTCTCTTTGTACATTTTTTTTTTATCATATTCACTTCTTTTTAATTCAGTCCTAACAAATTTAAAACATATTAAATTTCTGACAATTAACGTTTCTTTACATTAATTATATGCCATCACATATTCATTTCTTTTTAGTTCATTCCTAACACATTTAGAACATATTAAATTTCTTATAATTAACCTTTCTTTACATTAATTATGTCATCATTTCTTTTTAATTCATTCCTAACAAACTTAGAAGATATTATTTTTTTTTTACAATTAACGTTTCTTTACAATAATTGCGATGTCATCACATTATAATTATTTCATTTATATTATGAGTAATTAATCTGAATTTCGAAATGTTAGGCCTATAAGACCTACATATTTTTTTTTCAAAATAGGCCTACTAATGAAACAGGCGATAATAGGCTACCGTATGTCTTTGTGACATAAGTAGGCCCTAAGTCAGTGGGAGTAAACGACAAATCACCCACACCAAGGTTCCACGCATCACAGGTTTTTGTCCATGTGATAGTTTTTTTTTTTCATGTCGACAATCAAACAGTATTTTCTACCTTACCCTTAACATATAGGCTATATATGAAGCCTGCCCACATAACTGTACAGTAATTGTTATTTCATGTACCCTCATGCGATATCTGACACTCAAACGCAGTAGGCTATACCCGAATAAGTGCCTGGCATGGTCTCCGTAAAATTTTAGTTTGGCCAAAATCCTGAAAGATTTTTACTTTATAAAATACGTAATTTATTTGATCTTTCTATATAGGCCTAAATAGATAAATTCGATTTTTCTTCTTTTTTTTTTTTTTGTTTGGTCAAATTTAAAATCTTGTTCGATTTTCTGTTCTTTAGAGATAAATTCGGAACTATTTTTCGTTCTATCGAAAACGGTTGACATACAGAACAAATTGTTGTTTTTTTTATAGATTGAACAATTCTGTGAGCTGTTCTAATCTCTTTAGTGATAGATATTGTACGTTTACATTAACTTTTTTTCAGGGGCGGATTTACAGTGGGGCTAAACAAGCTTTAGCTCACCCGACAATAAAAATTGTACCAACGTGCATGTTTTTTGAATGAGAAATTACAGCCTAGTAATTCGGAAATATATTAGTTTATCAGCGCCATGCATCCACGTCATGTGGGGAACATACTCCCGTGGTGGGCCTGAGGTAGGTGTTGATTAAAATCATCTGAAATTATTGGTAGCCACACAAAGAAATTCTGAATTATTAAGATGGTTGTGTTGTACATTGTAATTGATATATTTCTGTAAAATATGTTTTCTTTTGTACCGGTAAGCACTTGTCGTTGTTGGATGATTTGAAATAAAAATATTTGTTATACAAAAATTAAAAAACAAAGTTGTCATTGCCGATGACATCATCATTTATTATATATTTCTGCATAGGAATCAACATGTGTATCGATACGACTGAATGCTCTTGTAGCCCATAACACATATCAACTTAATACCTTACAAACGTCCCCATCCCTAACCCATTAAAGTAAAAAGCGCTTAGGCCTATACATTTTATCGACTTATTATGAAACGATTGAAAACTTAAAACAGACGCGCGCATATAAAAAGCAGGCCAAGAACTTGTTTATAATCAAAAAATAAAATACCCATCATAAGAAAATTCAGTATTCGACTGCGAAAAAATATTGCGAAATAAATTCGAATGTTTTATCTATTTACATTCTAATATCTAATGATTTCATTAAAGCTTAATTATTGTGATTGTGCATTATATGTTTCGTTTACTCACACTTTTTCAAAAAATATAGCACAAATACAAAACCCAAGCAAAATGATACCTCATCACTTTCGAATATACTCCTAAAATAAAAATAGGATTCACAAAATTATACCTATTGATCATTGAAATTTATATTCAATTTTTATATGCAATTTTATTTACATTTATACAATATCCTATAGACTAGGTCTAATCTAGGCTACATTCGAGTAGAAATGTTCAATCCATTTTACTCAATAATTAATTGTGTGGCTTTATCCCACCAGAGAGTAACAATAATTTATGTCAGTAAAAAAGAAAACAAAAAGAACACAAATATCATAAGTTTGGTGATCACGAGACGACCAGTAAACTAACAATTTAAAGCTTTGTTAAAAATACAACCCGGTATTCATTATCGATGATAGCCCTAAGATAATATTATTACGTAACAGAATTAATCCAAATAGGCACAGCAGAAGTACGGCAGTGTGTCTGTGTGGCATCTAATAAAATATGTAACAAGAATATTTAACAATATTCGAAAGAAATATTACTAGTAGATAATTAAATTCTTGAGAGTGATTCGGTAATCTATCATCGAATTGTATATTTTTCAATTCCAGTACAAATGGGTCTATTGCCGAAGAAACCCTCACTTGTTGGACACTCCCGTACCGTAATCGTTAAGTCGTGTTCAGTAACCTCCGTCACTACAACATTATCTACTTTAATATTCGCCGTAGGCCGCCAAAGCGGTGGCATGTTACTCACTTTCGGGGGTGGTTCGACGATCGGGATAATGTCCTTAGGGGCTGGTGGAGGTACGGGAGGGGGAGTTGGAAGTGAGACCGGTATTGCGGTAGTAGATTCAATTGATTTTGGTATTAATACAACGTTAGACGTTAACCTTGGTCGGCCCCTGAGCGATGCATTTTTGGGGGGTCTTCCCCGCCTTTTGAACACCTTCAGTGCGGTATCATGAGGAAAGGACTGGCTCCGTGACCTTTTTGCGCATGTGCTGGCACTCTGCAAAAGTTGTAATTGTTCTTCATCCTCGGCAATTTTTCGTTTCTCCTCCTCATCCTCTTCGTCCGCTTGAGGAGTTACCCCAACGAAATTTACTGCTGATGTGTTAGAATTTTCATCTAAACCCTTTATGTCAAAAACACTGTTGCTATCGTCAGAATTTTCATTTAAAGTGTCATCTTCTTTTCTCGGACGAAGGCGGGCTTTTGCTTGTGTCGATAATTCAAGTTCCGTATACGAAAACGCACGCTTGATCCCTGCAAACTACCATAAAAATACAATTCCATATATTTATATTTCACGAAAATAAAATGAAAACACCAATATTTCAAGCGGTTTCGAAAATATAAATAAAACATCTTTGAAATGGCGCATGGCCTTCGGTAAAAATCGTCGCTTAGATAGCACCGACAATTGAAAAAATACACCATAAAAAACGATTTAAAACACCTACCTGCCTACCCCTACGCTTTGGCCTTCTACCCCTACGAGGTTCAGTACTAAATCCCCGATCTCTCTGTCTATTAACGAAACGAAATTATAAAGTGTTACTCGAGATACACACGGCGAATTATAATCAACAATACACATTTCAAGTGTTGTTCTACCGATCGCCATATTGAAAATCTACCAATCGAGGACCGACTTACCGTTCTTCAAAAAATCGCAGCAAACGATCATCTAGAATATTACTTTCAGGTTCCCAAGTATTGTGTCTGAAAGCAAATAAATTTCTGTAACAGTTATTGTTGATATTTAAAGACGACAGTTTCGAATATAAGCTTAAATAATCAAACAAACATAGTCACAATCACGGAAGCAGACGAGAACTTATCAATAAAACGATACTTACTTATTTGACCAACCCTTCCATTTCACTAAAAATTCAGCTTTTCCCTGCGAGAGACAGAACAAAAAAATATTACAGTTAGAATCTTATACAATCACTGAATATATCTCGTTAGTCATGTAGACCATAAGAAACCGTGTACTAGCCTTTCTAAATCGTTTTTGTAAGATAGCTTCGGCGGCGAAGACTTGGTCCGGTTCTTCCATTATTATAAGCAACGTACAGGCAGCCTAAACGGCCTGACAAACGGCGACAGCTCAGGCGAGGTTGAATTCAATAGCTGATTATTGAAACGGCTATTGATAGCGCACAGGATGCCAAACATGCACACGGCCTTTGTAACATCCCGTAATAATCACCCGTGACGTCACAACTCGGTCGAGTTGGATAATTTGAGAAGTAGCGTGTACGAAGCAGTGCGATACACATCACTGGTTTCGAAAGAGCTTTTACAGAATATAAAATACACAGATCCAAATACAAACAGTTTCTATATTTAATAAATTTCAAATCATCTCAGACAACAACTGGCGAGTCCCTACTATCATAACCAAAACACAACTAAGAACACAACAGAAATTAACAAGGCATACGGTACTAAACATCGGTTAAATGAATTAACAAGAATATTAATGGTAGATAGAGTAAACCTGCTCCCTAAAAAAAAAATCGTTTTGTAGTTAAAGATGGCGGTAAAAGATATTATTTATGCATTTGTTCAATCAAATGACACTAAACAGACTTCCAATGAACGAAAGAAACAATGTATATGGTATTTTCTTTTTTAAAATCTAATCTTTTCTTCTCGCATGGACTAATTCGTATACAATAGGAACAACCTAATGCATGCGTCGATAGGGCTATATGCATACACATACACATACACACATATAAATAGGCCAACATGTATTATATAAAACATGTATTGTATATAAACATTGAGGTTCCACGTGTTTCAGTACGACAATAACAAAAAAAACGATAAAGACCTATAAGGATAGGTCGAATTGTTGGTTTTCTCTAGTAAAGTACGGTTTC